ATAAGAGGATGTCTTCAGAAGCGTCGCGAGCGGAGCAGAAAAGGTCACGGTGGAAGTCAGAGCCAGGAAAGGAAAAAGACGACAGCGGAAACGAAGAAGAGGAGAAAAGGAACGATCACGGAAACGAAGAACAGCCGGGCCGGCAACTTGACGGGGCGCAATAACGATAAATGTAAAGTTCGCGTACGCATCGTTAGTACCATTGCCAGGCCCGCAATAATCGTTGCTGCCAGGCTACGACGTCGCTCGGGGGTTACTAACTACTAATTGTTACCAACTTAGCGAAACGAAGAATCCCTCGGCCTCGCACGCTTTCTCTCTTTCCTTCCGACCGCCCTCCGCCCGTCCCCTTTTTATGCGTTACTTCTCCAGATTAAAGAAATTTTGTGTTTAACACTCCGCCCTCGAGACGGAACGCCTCGCGTTTACGTTTCCCTCCGTTAACCCGCTGTAAAGGAAAGCAGACGAGGATAATTGCTGTTACAGGATCTGCGTTGGATTACTTTCGCGATTGTGTTCCTGCTCCAGCGCGGTCAGAGCGGAGATAATACGGAGACTCGTTTCGGTAACATTGATTTGATGGTTTTATGTTTGACTTGGCGTTGCGCGGCTGCGACAAAGGGAACTGTAGTGGATCTTGGTTTTAGCGGGAGGGTGTGGAGTTTGTTCTTCGATTCGAGGTAGCGTATCGTTCGATTGCACTCGAGACTGCGTTGGAGATTTATTTGTTTGAATTATATTGTTTCGATTTATGAATATTATCCTTTTAGCTGTGACTTGGGAGAGGTAATGAACGTTAATTTGCATTTAATCTTGTATCGTGTAAGTTTTGAAAAGAAATGGTGTTTTCCTAGATCGGTTGAAGGGGTGTAAACAACCCTTAAACGTGGAATATATAAAATTGAAATAAAAGTTACTTTAGTTTCATTTAATGGTGAATTTTAACGCGTGTCGAGATGTTTTGTTTTCTGATAAATTATTCGCTCAAAAAGTGTACGAATAACGATTCTAGGGCACGGTGGAACGTGAGTTAAATATTCAAGCGTTTCCATTTCATTTCTGATTCCTGCAGCTGTAGGCAAAGTGAATGAGATCTTAAAACAGCACCGCGCCCCTAAAACAATCCGGAATTGCTTAAATAGAGGAAAAGCCCCGAGGGAAAATCAGTTTTAATACTGTGAAGTGTTTAGCGTAACGCCGCAAATAGAAGACTAACATGGAATTATGTAATGTGCATAATCGTGTACCCCTCTCGTTTGAAGTTTGAAGTTCTAGGGAACTTCCTCCCCTAACGAGTAGTTAAGTAATTATTACATCGTCGCTGCGTGCTTCTATTAAAACTTATCAGTTCAGCGCTGATTTCGCGGTGGAACTTCTTCTCTCACTTCAAACGATTAATTATTACAACTACGCACTGTTACCAACTCTGGATTTTCGTGGGATTTCTAATTAAGCCTCCTCGCGTTGTTTAAACTACGGTGTACCACGTTCACGTATTTATACGGAGCGAGTCGTGAGAAATAGAACACCTACGAATTTTAAAAATTTGTCTGTTCAAATTTCAGCGAAGTCAGTCGTTGTATTTGAAATTATCGGATTTGTTCGAATTGGTAACTTAATTGAAACTGTTCGTTGAAATATACATTATTGTTGGAGTTAATAATTTAGAATGATATCTAAGATCAATATTGTCTGACTAAATAAAAACATTCTTTTATATCGGTAAAATTTTGTCCTCGAACAGTATGGTTTTCAATCTTATCGGGGATATTTAAGTGTTACGTCACTTGCGACACACCCTATATGTACGTCGCTACGTGGAAGTTCAGAAAATTCCGTGTAGTCTCACGAAATTCTCCTTATATTAGGGTGTCCCAGAAAATATTGTGCAGCTCGAGTCACTTTGTTTCCTATTACTTTGTTTCTATAGGGAGAAATGCAATTGCTTGTAGCTAGACGTCACAAGATCATGCTGGATTCAGGATATTCTTCTCAAATCCATGACCTGATAAATTAGCTTTCAAAGTTTTAAAACACAAAAATTTCATTTTAACATAAATCACATCCTTCGCATATAATTGCTTTTTCTTATTCTCAAAGAATGTTTAAAAAGTAAGTGATATATATAGATTCTGATCTCATCAATTCCATTATATCGAAGGAATAGGATACAATAAACTATGATAACTCCATTTTTTATTTTCCAAAACTTCGTGCATCTCTTACACGAAGCCAAGAAACTTTCGTATTTAACGTTTATTGTTGACTGTATTACTTTTCAAGTTACGTAGTTAAATAGCTTCTCCACCCCAGACTTTGAAGGGTAGTTTCGCCTCCCTAACATGAAAATGAGCCCTTCAAAAAATACGTGTCGTATATTTTCGCAAACTCCGCCTCTGCGTAAAGTTTCATTAAAATAGCTTCGCACTTACTGCAAGTTCCATGGTAATCTTTGTTCTTCATAAATAAATAAGAACAACCTTCCGATAACCAACAAACACTTTACAGTAACTTATCACTGTACGACCTTCAACTTTACAATCGATAATAACAGGAAACAAGAAGAAAAAGCGTTCACAAAAATCAAACAAAACAATATACCGAAAAGAGGTTGAAAAACAATTTCAAAATCGAATTCAATTATTCTACCAGCTCGAGCGATGAATATAAATTTGACGACAGAGATACGAAGCATCGCGTGCCACCCTATAGATGGAAATTCCGTCAACTACAAACTAACGTTAATTAAATGTTATTAAGACTGATGATTATCCGGTCGCCGGATCAGGGACGGTAATATAATTGTAATTCGAGGCGACCTTTAAGTTCTCGTTTTTCATCGAATCGGCTCCAGGCGCGCGGTGGATTAAGCTTTAATTACTCGTCGCATAATAATTCTGGCGAAACGAAGGCGCAATTACGGTATCTAGTTGGCGGAACGATTACACGCGAGGATGCGCTGGGGGCAAACGGAAGCTTGAAAGGAGAACGTGTGAGTGACAAAACTCGAGTTCGTTTCAGCCCCTGCGCAGTATTATAAGATACATTCGCCATTATCGTTTACCGCGCACTTTCGCGCGTTTTTGCGAGCACCCGCCTGTATCGCGGAGCTTAGAGGGCGGAAATTAAACGTGTGCGGTATCTAGACGACGCGCGGCGAACGAGGAACGGGGCTGAACGATATCCAGCGGAGGAAAAAAAGCAGAAAATGTTACGACACGAGGAGAACAGGGAACCAGAGGCGGTGGAACAATGAAAAGTCAAGGAATACAAAATTTGTTTGCGGATCTTGAAAATGAAAAAGTGCGCGCGAAATGCTGTTTACGGCGGTCGCGGGAGGGAGGAGGGAGGTTGAGAGGTGTGGGGAAAGTGGAAGGAAAATCTGAGAAAATCCTGGGAATGAGGGAAGAAATGTTGAATGAGGAGATACGGCG